TAAGTCTAGTTATCAAAATACCAATTCATTGCGGTAAAAATAGGGGGAGTGGCTCGACTCAATGTGAGCATATCTAATTCATGGATTTACATTTTTTTTTCTTTGATCGGTCTCCCAAAATACAAGAAGAAAGAAATAAAGAGGAAAGTAATCTGATCAGAGTTACCAAAGTATCGAACCTCATCCCACCCCCCACCCCCCAACCTAATCTCAAAAGAAAGCTACTGATGGGATGTGAGGGCGAACGAGTTGGAATTTCAAACGAAATCAGAAAACAACCATGTTTAGTAACTGAAACAGATAAAGTTCATTATAGTTACATACAGCTGTTACGGTAGTAGTGAGAGACTTCAATCCTGCAGTGCATGCATGAGCCTCAGGCAATGTTGTGAAATCACTGGCTTGCAATCTTTCCATCACATCCGTATATAGCCATTTCAGCCACTCACCAACAAATCTGAAAGCATATGCAGAAGCTAGCAAAGGAAAAAGTCTACTTTGCTGAGTTTTGTAATCAATCACCTAAAACAAATGCAAAAGCAGGCATTAGATACATTTTTTCAAGAACAGGCAAAAAACAACAGAAATTTTAAACAGGAAAATGATATCTATAACCCAATTATTTCAGGAGCACAACCAAAACAATACATAATGCAAATGATCTCAATTGAGGGGTTTGCATTAGCTTATCCATGCTCTTGGAAGTTCCGATGGCTCTTGGTGCTATGACCAACATGAGCTACATGCCAATTTCTAGTAGAATAGAAGGTCTATTGGAATGATTTTTTAATTAAGGGTACCTCATCTCTCTTTTCGACAGAAAAAATGAGGACAAATAGCAAAGCCTTAATTCAAAGAGATGATGAAAGCAGGATTTCATTCTGATTATTGTACTAGGAAAATGGAATCCTTGAATGGCACCTTATGTCTCCAAAAAGCGGTCAACTTTTCACATTAAAGCTATCTACAAGTGCTCTTTTTTATCATAAACTTGTAATTTAGTGTTTTATATAGCATGGGAAAACAGTTCTTAATTGTTGGAAGCAACAATAATGTGGCTGATTAGGTGCCGGATGGCAGTGAAGTGCCTCTACTTTTCCAGGGTAAGAAAGGGTAGGGACCTGATTTATAACTACGCAAAAGAACTGACTTATAGCCATCTAGTGTGTGCATAGGCGTGTGTGTGTGTGTGTGTGTGTGAGAGAGAGAGAGAGAGAGAGAGATGTTTCAGGAGCATATCCTCAGAACTGTTCACGAAAACAACAGATGATGTAACTGATCTAGATCATCCCAACATTGTACCTTACATATATATACATTTTGAAATAAGTACCTTACATATATATTACAATAATAGAATTTTTGTATCTTGAGTAAGTTTAGTATTATGAGCCCAGCAAAATAAGATATTGTAAATAAAAGCTTGCTTCCAAAATTGTCTTAGTTGGAGATATTGATGACAACTAAACAATTTATAGTCACACGGACAAGTTAGTTATGTTATTTTATAAAGAAAAAACCCTACCTGAGTCTCAGCTCCACCATTCTGTGAACCAAATTGTCTACGAACAGCACTGTACCTCGTTGCGATACAAACAGCCCGTGATAGAGCACAAGAAGCATCAGCGACAATTTGTTGTCGAACATAAACCATAGTACCATAAACCAGCTGCCGTGGCACATCAGATTTTACATATTTTCCTTCCCTCGTGACCTGTGAAACCCTGAGACATTTGACACAAACTTCTATAGTGTCAACTAATTGATGTTGGACTTGGACTCAGACTCCTGACTTTCCAACTAATATTGGCCTTCTAAATAAACCTAGACTAAAGGAAATATGTAAAAATTCTAGTATCTACCCCTACACAACCCAACTGCTTCCTCAAGCAACCGACCTTGAGAAAATCTTATTCAAAAGCAATTCCTTACTATGATGGCCTTCCAACATGATAGGTTTTAGCATTATAACCAAATTCTATGGAGACTATAATGAAGTGAAAGACCTGATTTACAGCCATCTTATGAACAAGAAAGAGAATTATTTATTTCAAGAAGAGAGAGAGAGAGAGAGAGAGAGAGAGAGAGAGAGAGAGAGAGAGAGAGAGAATTGCAGAAGTAGGAAAGAACTAACCTCATCAACATATGATTCCTCGGTATGCGTACATGATCAAATCTTAGAAACCCATTGTCCATGGTATTATATGCGCCATTTCCAAATTTCATTCCTATATCACCAACAGTAATGCCCGGAAGAGGCGAGTGATCATCCAAGCTCCTCAGCTGCACAATGAAGCCTGGAAAAGGGATATCTTCATAATGTGGAAGACCTTTTTCTATGAACAAATTTCTAGTAGTTTGTTACTTACCATGCACCCCATGGTCCTTGCCCTCAGTTATGAGGCGCCCATAAACAACAGCATGTGTAGACACTTTTCCCAGTCCCCCAGGCCACCACTATTTAAATGGAAGAAAAGAACCTAATCAGAGGATGTTGAACCAAGGGAACAAGTAATGATGAAAAAAAAAGGCATCCATTATAAAATAGTAGACTTAGCACACTAAGGAATTACAAGAAATATTGTCCACAAAATGAAATGGAAAATTTACTTTTACATCAGTTCATTGTTATAGGATATTAGTATATACCAAACTCCATTATATAAACAAAAAATCAACAAAAGGCTTACATATTTTACTCACTTTGCTAGAAGTTAGAGTAGGACTGTTAATAACAAATTCATCTGTCTCAGGATCAAAAGTTGCAGTTGTTTCAAGGCCTTGAACATTGGAACCATGACCTAGTTCAGTCTGTGCATAGCAACCAATTATTTGCATCTTTTGTGCCAATGGCAACCACTTCTGTTGCTGCTCGTCTGTGCCTTGTCCCTTGATAGCTGGTATAAACATTCCCTGCCAAGGGACTAGAGACATTAGCATGGAGAATGAAGTGTGTATTTTACTGAAATATGAGGAACCTATTTATACAAGTTTACATGAGAAATAAAAAGAAATATACTTAATTACAACAAAAGAGGTATATCACTAATATATTATTTATCCTACTTTTATACACTTTACACTTCTCTCGACACTCTTCCTCAAACTGGCAAATAATTATGTATTCCCAGCTTGCAATACTACTCCAAAATCTAGGATTACTCAATCGTTTATTCAATACATTCGCAAGTTGTAAAGCAATAGGTTTTTTTCCTTTTTTTTTTTTGAGATAAGTAAAGCAATAAGTGTACATAGAGTGCATATCAACCCACTATCCAATTTCTATTTAATGAAATGTCTGTTTACTTCAAAACAATTCGTCCAGTCATGTTATATTAGATTATGAGTGATACCCAGCTTATTTCTGTAGCAGAGTCTCATAAGCTCATCCTACTAAATTTTCAAATCTTCTAAAATCATTTTCAATCATAGGAGTTCATAGACCTCGTAAGTCATATCCGTGAACTCTGACTCTACACTAAATCAGGCTACAACATTATATTTTTTATTTCTCTAAATCACTAAATTTTCCCTGAAAAAGTACAGAATCCAGAAATAGATCTTCTATCAACTAGTGATCCCACATAGTTATTGAGAATTGGTCATAACCAAGAGAAAATAAGTAGGGAAACATGGGATCCGCAAGGCGAGCAAAAGGGGAAGAATGGACACAGTCGCAAGGAATCCAAACCTGTAAGGGTTTACATACTGTCAAGGCCCGGGTACATGATTCTAATTTAAGAAAATATATATTCGGGTTTGAAAAAAAAAGAGGAAAAATGAAAGGAGAAATAGAAGGATTTGAGAAAGATAAAGTAAGAATACCAAGAGGAATAGATAGAAAATCAAAGAGAAAATATGGATATTGCGAGAGAGAGAGAGAGAAATTTGAGGGAGATGATAATAATATATTCAAAATATTTCACTTTTTTATTAACTGTATAGATGAAAATAGATAATTTATATAAAAAGAAAAAATGCATGAACAAGTAATTAATTAGTCAATCTTCCATAGAAGCCCAAGGAGTTATAGAAGAAATCCCTAAATTCATTGAATGGAAATGAAAGAGGAAGTGGTTGGTTAACTAAAAGTTTGAGATGATTAAAGACTTCTCGGGTTTGGATTTCCAGTAGACATTTCCATTGTTCTCTTGGTGTACCTCTGCAGATCTTGTACTTTCTACTCTATTATTTTCTATTTGCACTCCGATCCTAACAATACCTTCCTCTTCAACATCAACCTTGTCCTCAAAGTTCAAATCTAGCTTTGTTTTTTTTTTAATTTTTATTTTCATATTTTTTAACTATTATATATATATTAAGCAATTTTTCGTTTAAGTAGTTTTTTTTACTTATATTTATATTTTACTTTTTTTCTTCTTTTTAATTAATATATATATTTCGAAAGCAATTTTCTACTGCTTAAACCCTTAGGAAATGAGATCTTCTCGGCATGCCCCGCACACCACCAGCGCGACTGTTGTCAAACGCTCTAGTCGGCCTGCTTCTTGTTGCCGCAATAATGTCTTCTTCTTCCACCTCTTCTTCTTTCGACTCTTCTTCTTTTCTTCCGCTTCTTCTTCTTCCTCTTCTTCTTCTGGTTCTTCTTCTTCTGCAATATCTTCATATGGGTCTTCTTCTTCTTCTTCTTCTTCTTCTTCTTCTTATTCTACTTCTTCTGCAATTTCATCAAATGGGTCTAAACCGGTTTGGTTCAATGAGTCAATCCGGTTTGAACCGGCATCTATTTGTTCTGAATTAGTCTAGTTCGAGTAAGACGATTTTAGGATTTTTTGAATCAGTTCAGTTATTGAACCTGTTTTATGGTTTTCCTTAAAATCAGGTTCACCTTTTGTCTTTTCATCTTCTTCGTCGTGTAGCAACAGAAAAGGTAGAAACTCACTATGTCTTATGCACACGGCTACAGCAAGGACCGTTGGTTTCACATTCTCAGGAGAGGTAACGCCGCCGCTTAGCAACTTGATCATCATATCGAGTTTTTCCTCTGTTTGATCGAAGAGCTTCGCAGTGCGATTGTTGGCAATTACCATCTCCCATTGGGATATGATACGCGGCTCTGCTACCAAGTTGTCATGACCCAGTACATGGTTCTAATTTAAGAAAGTATGTATTTGGGTTTGAAGAAAAAAGAAGAAGAGTGAGAGACGTAGAAGGATTTGAGAAAGATAGAGTAAGAATATCAAGAGGAATAGATAGAAAATCAAAAAGCAAAGATAGATATTGAGAAACAGATAGATAGAAATTTGAGAGAGATAATGATAATATATTCAAAATATTTCATTTCTTGATTGATTACATAGATGAAAATGAGTAATTTATATATATAAAAAACATATACATAAACAAGTAAATAAACAGTCAATCTTCTATAAAAGTCCAAAGAGTTGTAGAGAAAATTCCTAAATTCATTGAATGGAGATGGAAGAAGTGACTGGTTAACTAGGAGTTTGAGATGATTAAAAACCCCTCGGGTTTAGATTTTCTGTAAAAATTTCTATAATTCTCTTGGTGCACCTCTACAAATCTTGTACTTTCTAGTCTATTTTTTTTTATTTGCACTCAGATCCTTACACACGCATTGCGGCAAAGATGGGTTTCGGCTTCCTGCTCATTAAAAATGAGGGCTACATGGCATGCATCTATAGAATCTTGGGAGGACACGTCCTAATCGCAAGAGGGGTATTTAACTCTCTCAAAACCCTAGTTCTTCAAACCTGCCATCTCTTCTTTTTCATTTGGTAGACCTAGGGTCCTCTGTATCTCGTCGACTTCCATAGAGGGACGATTGGCATCTATGGAAATTGTTCATGCATCTTTTTATGTATTTATGCATCTTATTGTAATTCCGAAATGGCAAGTAATTTTTCAAGTATATTTTCCTACATGCTTCACTCTCTCTCTCTCAAACATCTTGTTTCTCTTTCCGATCTAACTCCTTGTCTTTTCCTTTGATTTTCTTAGTAACCACGAGTATATGTCACAGGTTCCTAACAATAGTCTACATCAATATGCTTTGAGTAGTGACCCATTGTCTTTTTAACATAATTCCCCTCCTAGGAGGATCTTTCAAATAGTGGAAAATTCTGCAGGCAACTTGCAGATACACTTCTTTGAGTGTGTGCATGAATTGGCTCATTACATTAACTGCATATGCAATATCTGGTTTGGTATATGATAAGTATATCAATTTCCCTACTAATCTTTGGTGCATCTCCATGTCCACATTTGGATCTCAGTTTATGATCAAAATCAATTAGTATGCTAGCAGGTTTGCATTCTAGTTTGTCAGTTTTCTTCAAAAGATTCATAACATATTTTTATTATGAGATAAATATTCATAATCTTGAATATACCACTTCGAATCCTCATAAATAAATAATTTTCTCAATTCTTTAATCTCAAATTTTCTAGCTAGGTATTGCTTAAGAGATACATTTTCTATAGCCAATTTCCTTCAAAAAATCTGTAACATATTTTTGCTATGAGAGAAACATTCCTAACCTTGATTATACCACTTTGAATCCAAGGGAGTAATTAATTTTTCCAATTCTTTAATCTCGAATTTTCTAATTAGGTATTGCTTAAGAGTTATGTTTTCTTCTTTATTATTCCCTATAATAATTATATCATCGTATATACTAGGAAGGTTGTGACTCTCCTTGATTTCGAATGTTTATTGAACAGGGTATATAATCTCCTTGACTCTGTTTATAACCCGTGGATAGCATTAGTTTCACAAATCTTCCAAATCATGCTCGGGGGGATTGCTTAATCCCATTAAGTGTTTTTTTAGCTTGCGTACTTTGTTTAGACCTATTCTAGCAAACTTGGGGAAATTTTCCATGTAAATTTCTTTTTCCATGTATGAAGGCGTTCTTTAGATCAAGCTACTGTAATTGTCAATTGAAATTAGCAGCTAACAATAGTAGGTAAATACCATATTTATCTCTAGAAAAGGTATAAATGTTTCATGATAATCAATCCCGTAGGTCTAAGTATTACCCTTTGGCCACTAATCTTGCCTTATACATCTCTATGGTTCCATCGGGCTTGTATTTGATAGTAACTACTCACTTGCACCCAAATGGCCTATTCTCCTTAGGTAAATCTACAACCTCTTATGTCCAATTCTTTTCAAGTGTCTGCATTTTGATATCTATAGCATCTTTGGTTCCTTATAGTTTAAAGTCTCATGTAATGTTTTAGGGACAAATATTGCATTTAGACTCATGAGAAAATTCTTATGAAATGATGAGCATTTTTCAAAAGAGAGAAAATTTAAAATTGGATTGAGATGATGCTTAGTGCATTTTCTTGTCTCTAATCTAAGTGCAACAAGCATATCAATATCAAAAGGAATGTGATTCTCATCGCTTACCTTATTTCTAGTGCCTAGCTTGGACACTTGGAACTTCCTTCAGATTAGGGCCCAAGTTTTTCCTCCTCGAGTACAACTAGGTAAAGTGTTGGTCTTGTATGAATTGAGATTCGTGCTCATTTTGCAGGCTCTATTTTTCTGGTGAAATGATTGTTTTAGAGGGTGTCGTGTTTAAAAGTAAGGGGGCACTGTCAAAGAACAAGTCCTCTTTAGCTTCCAATATAGTCTCCCTCTAATTATAAAGGTGATGAAAGGAGTCGGTCTCAACAAAAATTACATCAGTATATGCATAAAACTTGCTAGTAGCTAAATGATAACATTTGTATCCTTTCTATGTAAGCAAGTATCCCACAAAGACACACTTGATGGCTATGGGTCAAGTTTTCCTCTTTAAAACTTGTTTATATGAACATAGAAACGCACCCCAAGATACAAGGAATGAGATTATTGGTAACTCGGACTTTAGGAAAAAATGTAGCTAAAACTTCCCTAGGACTGCGAAAGTCTAGTACTCTCGATGGTGACTGACTGATAAGGTAAATAACAGTTAACATAGTTTTCCCTTAGTAGTGTTTGGCATGCACACGGGTTTGAAATAAGAAGGCACATGTAGTGGTAAGCAGGTGTCTATTTTTCCTTTCTGCTACCCTATTTTGTGGTGGAGACCACTGCTGGACAGCTCCTTGCCTGGCCGGACAGAACCGTGCAGGAAAGACGCTGACCATGAACAGTAGCTAGGCAAAAAACCTGTGCAGGGTTAGAGCTGGTGGCTGGAACAACAATGCATAGGCTCGATTGCGACTGTCTCTGGGCTGATTCTAGCTGGATGGTGGCTGCACACAGAATGGCCGAACGTCGTACACAAGGGAACAGTGGCTGGGGTCTGGCTGGACAGGACCTAGATGCGTTGCTCGAGGAGTCTGGACGCATGGCTAACTTGCATCTGGCAGCTGGAACCAATAATAAAGGTCAGTTTTTGTGGTTGGTTGTCAATCTGTGATGACCAGCTATTTTGGCAATAGAGAAAGGCGGCAATGAAGGCTGTACTCCTATGATTTTCTTATTTCAGCAACGAAAGCCAAATAGATTTTGTAAAGGAGTAGGATTTTTTAATCTAAGACTCCAATACCATATGGAGAATGAAGTGTGTATTTTATTGAATATGA